CTGCAGTTGCATAAAATATATTGCACACGTTCAGCATGTTTTATTTCAGAAGTGTGGAAATCGAAGTCTTCAGTGCGTTGGAGAGTGGGTTTCTCTCCCATGGAAACAGTGGTTGCTCCAGGACCAGTTCATCTGAGCAAATTTCATATTATTTCTGCTGTGTTCACGCTTTGCTGCAGGTGAGGTACGTGAGTAAACTGAGGAGTGACCCCCGTGAGCGCTGTCAGAACAGGAATTCCCAATGGCACCTCTTCCAAGACATTGGATAGATGCAAAACCTTCACAGTGTGAAAAGAGGCAGATCCTGACGAATTACAGTACAGCGTTAAGGAGAAAACGCAACAAGAAGCTCAAAAAATTGGCAAAAGCAGGAAAAAATGGTTTAAAAGCTATAATTTATTAAATATAGCACCTAATGTAGAATTAGTCTGATTTTCCTGCTATTAGAACATGAGAGGTGTTCTGGTTCCAGATAATTCTTTACATCTTTAAGTACTACTGACTATCTTCCTCTTGCTGCCCCATCTGAAATACATTCAAACATTTTTCCTGGAGGGAAAAAGCATAATTATGTAACTTCTGCTAATAAATTTTTCTTAAAACAAACAAACAAAAAACCAAACCAACAAAAAAAACCAACCAACAAACAAACAAACCACAGACAAACAATCCTCCAGGCTGGGAATCCATGGAAAATGACATCTCTTCATGAGAAAAGTTCTTCACTCTTGTACAGAACTGAACCAGCAGTTAAAATACTGCACAAAAATCCAAATGATTTGCTTCAAAATAGATCGTTCTCCCCACTGATCTAAAACTGATGTATGGTTTTAATATTCTGCCTAAACTTCCTTGTGTCCCACTTTTTCTGCTGCAGAAATTGAAGATGCATGGCATATAAAGTGCATTTTTTGTTTTAATAAGAAATTAATGACATCTAATTTCAGACGCTGATTTGGCTTGGACCAAGGCCTCGATCATGTCCTCAGAAACTTCTGATGCTTTTCCAGAGAAATTCTGCACTAATTAACTTTTGGACCTTACCAATGTAATCTATAATAAGAATATTGGACAGGAAACTGGATTATGAACCAGTAGGCTCCATCTTCTCTGCATAAGTTCAACTTTGCAGGACAAGTCTGTGAAAGATAAGAGGTTTCATCAGAGACCTTATTCTTGTCTAACTGACACTTTCCAAGACTGCCTCATTATTATTTTTTTAGAGTCTAAGAACTTCTAGCCCTTTTTTTCTGTTAATACTTGCTTGTGAAAGAACTATTTATATGCTGATTTCAGTGAAGAAGCTGGTGCCTCAGCCATTCTGCTTTTCCATCCAAGTAAAGTATGAAGGAGCATCTCTAAGGAACGTTTGTTTCTTTCTTCTGCGAAAAGCATACTGAATTTTTTTACAACTGTAATAAAAAGTTTATTTTGGAAACGTACAAAGACCACTTTACATCTCTTGGTGCTTCTCTCTGAAGAAGTAGATTTGGCTGCTATATGTCTAATGCAGCACTGAAGGATGAAAAAAAAATTATCTACAGTGTTTTGGGCAAGTAATTAGGAAAACTTGCTGTTCCTTTGAAAAATAGAAACATGAAGCTTTGCAATTTGTGAGCACATTTGACTCTACGCAGCTAATAATAACAAGTAAATCTGGCATAATCTCACGGATATGATACATGATGTATTCTAGATATATAATTGGCACATACATACAAATGGTAATCAGATACAGAATATGCATTTAGTTTAACAAGTAAAGCAAAGAATAAAATGGTTTCTGTGTGTAGGAAACAAATGGAAATAAATTAGGCATAGGTTTCAATCAGAAATGCATTTCTCTGTGAAATACTTTGTAAAATACAATGCAACACTTAACTATTTCCACTGTCTTAATTATCAGTGCAATAATTTCTATAAACAACTGGAAGTAGTTCTGTAGTTGTTAGGCTTACACTTAGCAAAAATTTGATGTAAATGAACAATGTAAACGTAATTGAAGGCTTTTCCTGAGATGGAAATAGCAGATATCATTGCACACTTGAGCAAAATTCATATTATTCTTCCCTTTAGCTTTGAAAACAAGTGAAAACCAAATATTTTGACTTCTTTTGTTTAAGTGGCCTGAAGCATTCCTCCAAATCTAATGCATTTTCATCTGAATTTCCTTTCCCCATAGTTTTGATTTTCCAGGAGTTTATAATCCTTAACTGTTTCACTTACAGAAGTACTGTGGCCACAATATCAGGATATCTCCATAGCTGTATTTTTTCTCTTTCCTCTTGCAGTTTCCATTATCCAAAGATAATGAAGCTTCTCATTCTATTTCTCGAGAGAAGAGAAGGATCCTGGATCACAAAGCCCTTCTGTGCTGTCTCAGATAAGCATAAGAACCTGGGTCTCTGGAGACAGGATGATGATCTCTATAAATCCAGGATCAAACTTGCAAATCTTTAAAAGGATAAAGTGGGAACAGCGAGAGGTGTAAGTTTGTAATGTGTCTCTTGGTGTTACATTTTGTAGCTTTACCTGCTTGACAGGTCTGCAACGGCCTTTGAAGTAACTGTGTGTGAAGTCTGCATGTGAGAGACCAAGTTGAGATTGGCTTTTTGGTGATGGAAGGATGTAAACTGTAATTCCAGTAACAGAGCCCCGAATGAACCTCTGTGAGAGCCTGACCTGCCACTGATTGCAGGAGAGTTCTTGGGTCAATGGCCCAGGAGCAGCACAGAGGCACATTGGGTATGGCACGGATTTGGGCCAAATGCGAGAGGTTTTTGTGCTGAAGCAACTTTCAGGTTCTTTAACAGCTCTCCAGGACCTGCCGTGGCTGTTGTGTTAAAAGCCCTTGGAGCTGTTCAATTTCCACTCCAGGAGCAGCATGTAAACACCTTTGTTTGCTAGTCTGGGTTTTTAGCTCAGATGTAGGACAGTGAATGTTTGAAATGTATTACTCCCTAAATAGTAGGTGGCATAATTTTCTTTCTGTGTCTGATCTGCAGAGGGTGCATGTCTTACATCCCTGTTCCTGGGAACCTGGCTCTTTTCACCCAGTCCTTTACTCTTGCATTGGTTTGCCTGACTCTTTGGCTGCTGCAGAGAATAGGTCATCTTACACAACCTTAGAAATGGTAGCCCACAAGAAATAAAATTACTGAGAGGGCTTAATTTTTAGGATTTTCTCAAAATATAACTATGCTTTAAATCAGTGCTTTACAGAGCTACACTAAAAAAATGTATATTAAAACACAGGCCTTTGAATGATTAACCTCTTAATATATTTGATGATGCCATGATATGTGTCTGTGATACACTGAACACACTTGGTACTAATAAATTTATTCAAGTCTAAACCAGGTGCCTCCCTATAGTTTTATTGTTATAGATCCAGGCCATCACTCTGATCACAGCCACTGTCACATATCAAGGCTGCACATTGTGGCCAGTCTGTTGCTTTACAGCCAAAATTGAACATCAGAGAGTGCAGCAGATTCAGCAACACTGATTTCAGTGTGCACTGTAATTCTGTCCCAGCCCAGCCATGGAGCTGGTTTTGGGTGAGCATGCAGCTGGCAGCATGGAAAAGTTGATATTTGCACGACTTAATTTGGATAAAAAATGGTGCAAGTAGGCAGGCGAACGGTGGCACTTCAGCAGGTCATGGAAACAAGGGGAAAGTACCTAAAAATCCCTTAGAATGTTTCCCAGATTTCTGATGTTTACCTTGGATTTGTGTGCAGACATTGCTGACATGTCTCCTAGAGAAGAAAAGAGGTTGTGTTGATAGTATAACATCACACATTTGAACAGCTTGAGGATTTCAGGGGGTTGCTGCTGGTGCTCATGGTTTTTTACTAAGTATGAAATTTGGTGGGGTTTTATTATAGTACATATATTCTCAGGAAAGAGCATATGTTTATGCGTTGTGGCTTTTCTGTAGTTTCTCATTTAGTATTGCTATTTTCCCTTAGGATGAAGTAATTTATATTATTATATCTGGTCTGAAAGCGAGTTGGATGAATTTCTGAAACAGTAGTTGTCCATTGCATTTGCACTGATACTGCGGTAAAGTACATTTTGGGATACCACTGGTGAAGGCACATGGTGAGAGCAGCGTAAAACGGACAGGCTGCAGAGTTTCTCTGCCAAGTGAATGCCATTTAAGTAGTGAAGGCCAAGCACAGCCAAGTTCACTCCCAGTGCTGACTCTGTGAGGGACTTGTGAGGCCCCACTTTCCCTTCTCTCCAAAGCTGGCATCTCCCTTCTGTGCAAAGTTTATACTCCAGCTCCGTGGGGCAAGAAGAATCCTTGCATTTCTGTCATTAGTCTCATTTAAAGGTCATAAATCAGATTATGAACCCAAGTAGGATTTATTTCTGTGAAATTCACAGTGTGGTAATCTCTGATGATGTTGCACAGAAGACCAGCTAAGATGGGTCACACGGGGACAAGTTCAAAGCCACACAGAGGGGAGTGAATGCTTTGTTCCTTCACTGTCCTAAAGGTATTGCAGTTTATTGCCTTCGTAGCAGGTGGGATGAGAACAGCATGTATGAAGGTGATAAACTGGGGCTGCAAGGCGGAGGGAAGCTCAGCACCAGTTTGGCTGTTGGCACAAACACAGGAAAGGCGTTTCGGAGCTCAGTTCCCTCTCTCCCCTTTCCCTCCTGCTCACCTTGCTGTGCAAACTCCCCTTCCAGCACTGCGCACCTGCACAGGCGTGAAATGAGAGGTACCTCAGAGTAACCCCGGGGTGGGGAGCCCTGCCTGGCGTTCCTTGCTGGAGTTATTAGCCAATAATAAACCTTATTAATCTTATTGCTGGTAAATGCCGCGAGTTCCCCCCGTGTGCGGCGGCTACTCCAGACAGTACGGTAGGACAATACGGTAGCGGCCCCGCCCCGCCGGGCCGGGCTGGGCGGCCACGTCCCCGCTCGGGCTGGGCAGTGGCGGCGGGACCGGCGGGGTCTCGGCCATGCGGCCGCGCTGACCGGCCATGCGGCGGCCCTGCAAGGTGGCGGCGGCCCTGCTGTGCCTGGCCGTGCTGCTGCTGCTGTACCTGCTGGCGGGCAGCGCGGCCCCGCCGCCCGCGCCCTCCGCGCCCGCCCGCCGCCCGCCGCGCCTCGGCCGGAGCCCCCCGCGCCGGAGCGGCGGCACCGCCGGCCACAGGTAACGGGGGCGGCCCCGTCCCCCGGCCCCTGCCCGCGGAACCCCCCGTGCCGGCCGTGCCCAGCCCCACGCGTGACCCGCGGGTCCCGCCCGGCGGGTCCCCTCTCGATGCCGCCGGTGCTTCCAGCGCTCCCCTCTCCCAGACGTTTTCCCGTCGCCTCGGCGAGTGACCGGTGATGGGAGACCCTTGTGCAAACTGCGCTGGTTTGCAAGTGTAAACTTTCCCCTGCGTTGTTTCCACTCGCAGCGCAGTTGCCGGAGATGCCGCGAAGGTGCGGGGAGGGTTTCGCTGCTCCGCCGGTCCCTCGCTCCGAGGAGCGGGTCCCCTCCTTTGCAAGGCTGTGCGAGCGCAGCTCCTGAAATAGCCGCTTTTCCATGAGTCTTGGCCTCGTTTCGAAGGCTGACGGGGGCAATGTGGTACTCGCTGGCTGGAACGAGGAGCTGCTGTCACCTCGGGAGCTTCGCTTCTGCAGATTTCTCATTAGGGAAAGTGCCTGGTTGCTGCTCTGTGGTACCACCGGGTTCCGAACTGCGGAGGCACCAGTGCAGTTTGAGCTCTCCAACTCTTTGTTCTGAATGTTTTTTCTATTTAAATTCATTATGCATAACTTTTAAAAAGTTTGCAGTCCTGGTGTGTTGTGTTTCCTCTCCCAGCACCTGACAGGGAGCATATTTAAAAATCCCCAATTAGTTCAGAAAGAGATCCTGGCAGCTTTCGTTGGGTGGAGGACTGTTTTCCCCTTTGCATTCCAATTATATTATGGTCAGCGTGACCTCATATATCTAATTAACTTGGTATGTCTTTGTGTCTTTGATTCATGATTTCACAGAGATGTTCTGAATGAAAAGACTATTCCTGTTTTTTGAGCTCTTACTCCTTAACTTATTAAGGCAGTTGGTTTCTCACCAGCATTGTTACCCCACTGAATGCAGGAGATGTTTACTGGGGCTGAGAATGGGTCACGGGCAGAATCCAAATGCCTGCATTAAAGCAGGATTATTTCCACTAACAACTGCACCTCCTGAAGTCATTTTTCTTTAAGGCATATCTCTGCGATTATCATGGAAATCAAGAAGAACACTGAAGGAGGGAGCCTGGAAAGTGTGGAACTGCCAGAGAGTGTAAACAACTGTTCCATTTCAATGAGCTTCTCTGCAGCATCTTCATGTTTCAAACTTTGACATTATCTAACTTTTCGATTATTTATTGACCTTGCAAGTACTTTCTACAAGGTCTGCAACACAACAACAACAAAAGAGGAATTCTGCATTCAAACCATGCCTTTTCTTCAACATTTTGTTTGTTTATGGGGTTTGGTGGTTGTTTTTTCCCCTCATGATCCTGCGCCATTGGCCCCAGCAGTTTGTGTAACTGAGAAGCACAATTGTGTGGGTCCAGTTCTGCCCCTTGCTGAAGAAGGATGCTGTGCTGATTTAATGTATTTGGGTGAGGGTCTCCGTAAAAAAGAATTTTTGTGGGGCAGGTGTGACATAACCTGGTCCAAGTGGAGGTGATGCCTGAATTCCTGGGAAGGCAGCAGGTGGTAGGATCTGCTGAGCTTAAAAGTCCTGATCCAGGCGAGGCTGAAAGGAGCGTGAGGAGCTTGAACTTGGAGGTGAATTGTGTTTTAGCTAGGGTTTGTAATGCTGTTTTCTGTAGTTCACATAATGAGAGAAGACAATAGGTTTTAGGTTTTAAGTACAGATTTCTTCTAACATAAATAGTTATACGTGATAAAAGCTTCATGTATGCCCATATCATTAGCTGGCTGGTACTTAGCAAATGTTATCAGCGACGTTCATGGGTCCTGCTTTGGCCTTTAAATAATTTTTGGCAAATCTAGGTGAGCACTGAATTTAAGTTTCTGGTTTGCTTTGAAAACTGATTTTTTGATGCTGGTTTTACTGCTCCTTCCTATAGGAAGTAGCAAGTCCTAGGCTGTCAGTAAGACATTTTTTATGTGAAGAATTTTAAGTATGTGCCAAACCAGTGAGTGCAAAGTATCCAAAAGCAGAAGGGTTATTTTACATTTGAGGGGCAGATGTGACCATGCTCTCTATTAAACCAGCGTGGCAAGGCTCAGGAAGGGAACCTTTGCCAGCACATTTAGTTCCCTGAAAGTAACTTTTCCAAAGCAAAACATCCCTTGCATGGCAACCTGTCAAGATATTTTTCTCCCTTTGCAGCCTGTGTGCACACACATACAAGTTTGGCTTGGGTTTGATAATAACATGCTGAAGACCCGAGTATTTAATATTTATTTCACAAAGAACCCCCCTGATAACAGGAGACAGAAACACCCATTCTGGTTTTGAGTGTCATTTTCCCCTTTCTCTGAGCAGTACGAGGAGGTTGAAACTTCAATTTTTTTGATTGTCAGCAGCTACAGTTGGTTTGATGCAACTGCACTGAAGTGAGAAAACTCTGTTTAAAAACATTTGGAGACTTTCTAATTTATGTTTTGAAGTGTGTGAGAAAATGTGTTTTGTATCATGGAGCTGCTGTTGGGACTTTGACTCAGGGGTGACTGTCAGGGAAGGAGCCTGTTCAGTGAATCACCAGTTGGGATGCAACGCCTAAATCGAACCTTGTTTGTGCTGCAACAGTAAATGAGATCATAATATGAAGAAGGTTTCAAAAATTAACAACTATATTGCATTTTGTAAGAATCTGCATGCATTATCTCTCAGGAATAAATTTGAAGGCTTGAATAGATTAGCAGGCTCTGTAATGAGATGGGAATGCATTATTTTGAATGGATTTGGATTGATTTAGACAGGTTTTGGGTTAATTATGTTTGAGACACTTTGGCTGTGACTAATAAGAAAATTACATGTAATCTAAACTTTAAGGCCTGGAAATGTACACTGTTGTGCTTGAGCACTCAGGCTGCTCCTGCTGTGTCAGTGCCTGCCTGAAAAAAATGTATGCAGTAAATAAAATACCAGTGAACAACTGGATGGGAGCTGCCCTGTATTGTTGGGAGGTCTTTGTTATAAACATTTTATTGTGCTCCATCTTATCAAGTCTGTATTTTGTGATGCTTTCTGTGGAGCCTAATCTTAGTTTCTCTGTTTGCTCCTGTCAAACACATTAAACTTCAAGGCCCAGGTCACTGTATTGATTTAGATGCATTTAAACCTTTAGTTTAGGTTATAAAATCCGATTATAGGCTCTATTCATAACCAACAAGTTGGAGTGTAAATGGATGAATGTGCATATAAATGTTAGGAAGAACTGGCTGATGTGGATCTATGGGGCTTTTTAATGTGCTTGGGAGTCTCTTGAGGTGGGGAACTCTTACTGCTCCGACAGCTGTTCCCATTGAACAGGTGGGACAACGTGGCTGTATCTTGCAGATCTTTAAGGAATATCCTTTCCTCCAGCTGATGTTTCTCCCTGTCCCCTCCATTGCTCCTTGCACTGTGTGTGGGTGTGTGGATGAACAGAGGAGGGAAGGGGAGCTGTGATGTTCTGTGCTGTGATTTGCTCATTTGCCTTCCTGGCAGTTTGACCTTGCCTTTACACCTTCCTCTCCTCAGGCTCATGGATGATAATTGTTATTTTTTAAGGGCTAGGTTAAAACTGTAGTCAGATTTATCCTGCTGTGGCAGTTTATCTCCCGTTCCAGCTCACCTTTGTTTCCACAATCCTCTAGTTTTCTTTGTGTACTTATAAAAAATACGCAAAATGTTGTGTCCCAAAGTTCTTCTGTTCCTCGTTGTGACTTTCCTCACTAACTGTTGCCCTCAGAGTCCCAGACTGTTCCTGACATAGTTCACGTACTACCTCATGCCCCTCTTCTCAGGCATTTTATTCCTCCCTAAGCCATGACAGGCTCCTGGCCCCCTTTGCAACTGATAATTCCTCCCCTCCAAGGCTCAGCTTTGTCCTGCACTTGCTGGGGTGGGAGGTGAGGTGTCTCTTGTTATCCATAATCCCATGGGCTTACTGGGAATTCTGCTTTCATCAAGGGTTGCTTCTGCCGAGTCTGTCCATTGGAAGTGCTTGTCTGCACACACTGGATTTTTCACTGCGAAATAGCTGCATAATGGAGAGCTCGTGGCTAAAACTGCACGGCAAAGCCGAGTGCTTCGGTGTTGGGTTTTGAAATGCTGCAATAAAAGTGTAGTTTAGTCCCTCTCCCGGTGAATTCCACTGCCACAAGCTACATCAAAGCAGCTCCCAGGCTGCCAATGGCTTGATTTAGAGACTCAATTAAGAGGAAACATTAAACAGATAGGGAGAAGGGGGAAAAGGTGATCTGTGTGAGCAGCTAATTATTCACTTCAATAATTCAGCGGATTTTACACTAATAGGTTGGAAAGTAAATACCACTTCACATAGATGTAGTATTCCATTATTTATACATTGATGAAATTGGGGGTTAATTAAGACTAAAGCAGAAGACTTTAAACCCTTAATGAAACATGTTGCTTTGGGTAGTCAGTAAAGTGCCAGTAGATGGTGTTCCTTTACACAGAGGTGAGTTGCTCTGTAGGACAGAAGTCTGTTGTTTCACAAAGCAGCATTCTAATGTCTGTAAAAAAAGAATAACAGCTTTATAACTGCCATTTTTCTCTTTATTTAGAACTTCTGTTTGTGCTATTAACTTTACTGATTGTGTGTATGCAATTATGTGTGCTGAGAAGGGCTCAGGATTGATGTCCTCTGCTCAGAGATATGCACAGAAAGGGCAGTGATCTGTGATTTGCCTTTTGAACTCTCCAAGAGTGATTACTGTGCTTGTAATTTAGTTCCTTGGTCGGCTCATCCCATGCAATATAAGTGCCATCTGTGTTAGGATGTGAATACAACATGGTAGAACCATTCCTGGAGGATGCAGTTTTTAGCTCCATGCTGAACTGGGGGACACACAGAACCAAAAGGCTGTGCTTTCAAACATCTTCAGCTCCCCAGGAGAGCACTGATATTTCTGGCCAGCAGGTACAAAGTGCCTTTTATGTACAGATTCCCCAGTAGTCTGGCTGAAATGGATATAAATCCCACACAGGTGGGTGCTAAGTGAAAGCCCCATAGTTTGCCCCTTGACCACTTGTGGAATATAGTCTGACTCATCTGGGACATGTGAATATGTTTGTTTTCAAAATTCTCTATTTTAGCAAAATCTCAGCGATTCCATGGGGTGAAATGGAGAGCAGTCCTTTGAAACTGTGCAGGTGCCTTCAGGCCAGGATTAAGGCATGCATCTTTAACAGCAAAATTAATTAACTGTTAGAACAATTTACATATGGATGGAGTTGTTTTTTGTTTGTTTTTTTTTTTTTTAAAGTATGGATGCCTTCTTCCAGTCTAGCCATTATAAGCCTGGGAACAAAGTTGCTGGATGTAGTTGTGTGATCTGCAATGTGTTAGAAAGTTGGCTGGGTAGTAGTAACTCCATCCTGGCTTCCTGACCTCTGAGCTGGGAAAGGAGCTTGCACAGAGCAAGGTGGTGTCTGGTTTGAGGTGCTGTGGAATTAGTTTCATCTGTGTCTGTGGTGCAGTGATTTATGCAAATCCAGAAATGTAGGAATAAAAGAAAATTTCTGAAAATAGCAAATTTCTTTGTGTTATAACTGTAACACTATTGATCTGTACCACTGACAAGAGTGAGTGTGCCGGTGCATGTTCTGGGGATATCTAACCACAAAACACCCCTGACACAAGGAAGGGGAAGATAAAACCCTGCTGTCTGTTAATGCGGGATTCTCTTCATGTTTCCCTCAGTAATTTTTATTTGCCTATTTCTGAATTTTCAGGAAGCCTGGGGAACAGAAACATCCAAAGGAGCCTTCATCCTTGCAGTGCATGCATCTGGCAGTGGTGGCATGTGGGGACCGGCTGGAGGAGACGCTGATCATGCTGAAATCAGCAGTTCTCTTCAGCAACAGGAGGCTCTGCTTTCACATTTTTGCTGAGGATTCCCTTAAGCCTGAATTTGAGAAGAAGGTGAGTTCCTTTGTCGTTTGGTAAATAAAGAAATAAACGTGTTCAGTTGTAAGCTGCAAGTCTCTGAGAAGAGTTACACCGACATCAACAAGCAGCAGCCGAGCTCGTTGTTTACTGTACACAGTTATAAATTCCTTATGCACGCGTAGGTTTTTTTTTTTTAAAGCTGTATAATTATAACATGCAGTGTCTGATTCCTCCCCTCGTGTCTTTCAGTTAAAGGAGTGGCCTTCCTCATATACCAAGAAGTTCGAATCCAACATTTACCCCATAACCTTCTCAGTGGGAAATGCTCAGGAATGGAAGAAGTTATTCAAACCATGTGCAGCCCAGCGCCTCTTCCTTCCGGTAAGGCACCTGGATTTCTGAGGAGCTCACTCCAGGAAAAGGTTAATTCCTGAGAAAGGCAGCTTTGCTGATGGAACATTAAAAAGCGTTTTCAGGCCCAAACATCTGCATAAAGATATTTTGGTTTGTGCTTTAACGAAAAACAACACAGAAACCCGGCCTGGCTGTTCCTCAGCTAACAAAGGATGTGTGTTTCTGATTTGTCTCCAGTTCCAGGAGCCTCTCGGGCTCTCCAGATTCTCCAGACTCCAGAGAAAGTGTGAGAGCTCTCTGAGGGCAGATCTTTTGGGGTAGATGCTGCATGCCTTCTGTAAATAACGTTCTTTTCAACATGTCCTCGTCACACACCATCTTCCTTTCCATATGTTAGCCCTGATGCTCTCAGCAATCCCTTTTTGCTTGAGTTTTATTTCTTTTTCCAAGACTGTCAGAATTACCCTTAAGGTAGCAATTCCAGTGTGCTCAAAATCAGATTTTGTGCAAAAGCTCTGTGTGTCCTGGGATCTTCAAGTTCACTGAAAAGCTGTGTTATTTACTGTATAATACCTAGTGTCAGAAACTTGGAAAATATTGAAGGTTGCTGGAGAGAAGGCAAGCGTTGATAACAATTTTGCGTCTCAGAAATGGAAAGAACTTTTGCATAAAGCAGTTTCTGTGGAACTGAGAACATCTATCAAAAATATCTCGTGCCTTGCTGGTGGTTGGGGTGACTCCAGTGAAGTGACAAGCTGTTCACATGGTCCAGATTTCTTCATTGCTGTCTTATGAGACACTGGGGGGGGGACACAAAGAAATCTTTACTCTGTCAGATGGAAGCAATCAGGAGACAGCTGCACGTCCAGATACGTAGCCTATGAATACATATGTGAGAAAATATGTGCTGTCAGCAGTTCTGCTGATCTGCCATTTAGGGGTGGACGATCAACTGCACAAAGGCCAGATGGGCTGAAAGTAACTCCAGCTTCAGCAGGGAGCTTCTATTCCCTGAGTAAATATTTGTATCACCTGGGAAATAATCCCTGAGCGTTGGCTTGTTCAATACAGAGTGTTTGTCAGGATGTGCTGGGTAAACACAAATCTCTGCTCTTCATATTTCTGTGGTATTTTCTGTTATTTTGGTGGACTAACACAACAGTGGCTACGGTTTCACTTTCATTTGTCATCACCCCTCTGCTCACAGAAAGGGTTTTGTGCTGATTCCTTCAGGCTGAGCAGTGCTTTTATGGATTCCTTTTTGTCACTCACACGTTGCTGAAGTTCTCCAGTAACTCGTTGTAAAGAATATTAGACTGCTGCACGTTGTCTTAGCAAAACAAGGAGGCAGCTTGGACTGTAAATGTTTGTGTCTCTTGGGGCAGTTGCAAAATGTTGTGTGTGGTCAGGCTGAGGTTTATGTCTTTGAATAGGGGGGTTGTCCTGGAGGAGCTGCAGCTGACACCGAGTTGATGTGGGTATAGTAAAGGAAACAAGCTGAGGTGGCAAGTGTCCAGCTGGGCTTTGGTACTCGAGCCTGCAGGCTGACAGAACTTTGGGCTGTTTCTGGGCAATTTCAGCCATCATTATTTTTGTTTTGGTGCTTGATAACTGGGTTTTTGACATCCCATTTGAACAAGTCTGCACACAGCAGGAGCGGAGGGTTCCAAGTCTTATTCTTTAGATAACTATTCTGACTTTTATTTAAAATAAATACCAGCAGGATGTCAGTGTAATTTTTTTCTTATCCTTCCCCTTACAGAGCATTTTCCCCTGCAGCAGCATAAAACGTGCCTGGATTTAGGGAGGACCCCAGGGGAGCAGTAGTTGAGTTTATCAGCTGTTTAGCTCTCAGTTGTGCAAATTGTCTTGCTCCTGATAATGCTAAGCCCGAGTGGAATGCGAGTCTTTGATTCACAAGTGCCTCTCCTGCCAAAGAAATCTCCTCTGCAGCACCAGCAGGCGTGTGAAAGTGGACAGGAGGGTGTGAGGAATGTGTTAAGGGAAAATTGGGTAAGAACCTCTCAGTGGCTTTACTGGCTGATAAATCTGGAGCTGTGGGAGGTGACCCTGCATTTGCAGGGAGGAGCTGTTCTGTCCTGGGTAACAGGTTGAGGTGCACATTCCCAGCTTGTTAAATCTACCTGGGATGCTAAAATACTACGGAAGATTGTGCAGCATCCTGCGTTTTTAGAGGCATTCTGTGACATCTGATCACGTTTAGCCACTTAGATGCAGATAATGCAGGTTGAGCCTCCGTGTAATCTCACAAGCCCCAATCTTTTGCTGCAGTAAAACCATCCAGGGCATTTGTAAAAGCAGAGTTAGGAGGATGGAGATCTTTACATGAGCACAAAAAGAAACTGTAACAATAAACTAGGAGGGTAATGCTCTCACCAGTCACCTGAAAGTGGTTTGTATTACTGACATGGATGTTAAGACAGTGCGTGAAGAACATCCTCTGGTCCCAGGGATGTTGGTCTTGCAGAGCTGGCAGCAGCTGTCACCCTGCTGCTGGTCTGGAGCTACCAAAACAATCAGCTAAAGTATCCTGAAATGCTTAAGGGATTTTCGGATGATTTTGGGATGAACATTTAGAACCCTTCTCAAAACACTTAATCTACTTAAAGAGCTTTTAAGGTAGATTAGCAATATCCCTGTGTTAGAGCTTTCCTCTTGAGGATGCTCAAGTATCCAACTCTGTGGATTGGTGGCAGCACTGGGAATAGATACCAGGGCATTATCTATACAAAGGTCTCTGTTGTAATTTGAGTTAATTGCTTACTACAATTAAGTTTACTAACTCAGCTGTGTGGTACTGTTACAGTAGCATCAAGCTTTGTGATTTGTCCCTAATTTTGGATAAAGCTGGGATAGGCTGCCAGGCCAGCCCTCACAAACCCTGAGGTAGCCCAGCTTCACAGTGCACCAGCATGTTTACCCAGGAGTGTGTTATTCCTTGCTAACCTTGCTAACACAGGGAGAATCTATGGAGACAGAAGTTGTGAAATCAAATTACAGATAATTGAGTATTTAAGTGAAGTGCCAGGCTAAATATAGCCAGTTCTGTGCAGAACTTTTTGACAGATTTACCAAGAATACTCTCTGTAGCTGCAAAGCAAAAAAAAAAAAAACCCCACACTTCTTTTAAGCTGGAAGCGCCTGCAGAGTGAGGGGGAAGACAAGCACAGTCAAGGCGTGTTCCTGGCCATTCCTTCCCAAAATCCCAGTCTGTCATGCTTTACCACTTACAGCTCTTGAAAAGAGCTGACAAAGCTCTGCACATAGACATTATTTACATCCTATTTCTGAACTGATACGAAATAGTCCTTGCAGGTATTTTTGAGAGCTCAGTGTGCTGCTGTTCCATATGAAGGTTAATCCAACCTTTGTGCTCTGGTAGCTGTTTTAATGTGCAGATTAAAGAAAAAAAACAAACCACAGCAAACAACAAGACAATAACCTGATAACTGTTGTTCCTCTGTGTAATTACATTTAGCTGATAAACTGATCATTTGGAAGAGGTTTTTGACTTAAAAGAAAAGTACTTTTTGCTAATAACCTTCCTGGATTTCTTTTCCCTCTCTTCCTTTCCTCGCTGCGCGAAACCCAACAGGTCATCCTGAAGGACGTGGATTCCCTCCTTTACGTGGACACCGACGTTCTCTTCCTGAGGCCCATCGACGACATCTGGCACATCCTGCAGGAGTTCAACTCCACACAGCTGGCTGCCATGGCCCCGGAGCACGAGATCCCCAAGATTGGCTGGTACAGCCGCTTCGCACGTCACCCTTACTACGGGACAACGGGGGTCAACTCCGGGGTGATGCTGATGAACTTAACGCGCATCCGCAGCACTCAGTTCAAGGTGAGAGGAGAAGCAGCTGTCGCAGGAACTCAGGGTTTATGTATTTTTCTCACTTTGGAAAACCTGGGGTAAAATTATTTAAGGTTTGTCGTATAAAGAATCAGAGAAATAGGGAATTTATATCGTTGCATGCTAAAAGCAATTAGTGAACATGGTTATTGAAACACGTGAAACAAGAATCTGCAGCTGAAGCAAAATGGCTCCTTTAACATCTTCCTATTCCTTGAAAACATGAGAGAATAAACACAAGGATATTCGGTGCAGTCGCTGTGTTGTTTTTAAAATTGGAAAGCTTGATATGAAAATCCAGAGAAACTGGTAATTTTTGCGTCTGTTGTAAATAGACTTTTGTATCCTGCTGCAGGTAAAAGTGACTCCATGGACTGATGTAAGTGAGAAGGGAGCATTTTCATTGACATCTCCCCTCTTCTGTGAAAGAGGCTTTGATTTCCTTGAGCATGTGTTCTGAAATCACTAAAATTCTGCTCACCCCAAGTGGTTCCTCAGGCAAGGCCAGGTGTTTCCCACACCACTGCAAGAACAGCTGGAGTTAAAAAACCCACATTGCTCTTAATACCATAATTCCCAGGGAAGATGATCCTTAGACTGTGTTTTTCCTTGGTTTTATAACTTGGTTTCCGCCTTGTCTCTGCGTTTTTCCACTTTTCCACCTTTTTTCCCTGCTGTTGCTCAGAACAGGAAGATTGTGACTAGCAGGAGCTGACATCAGAGCTGGACCCAGGAGACCTTGTTTTCCTGTCCAGGTAAACAGGAGCACGTTCAGCTCTGCTGTTCCAGCCCTGTCCAGGTCTGACATTTCCTGGCAGTTCTCCGTTTTTCACCTGGTGTCTGAGATGGCTTAGCAGACTTACAGAGCTGTGTGTGCCCCACTCTGAGTCAGGTATCACAGAACTGAGCACAGTTTTAATGCCTTGTTTCTGTTTTTCTGCCCTCCAGAACAGCATGATACCAGGTGGTTTGACTTGGGAGGAAATGTTATACCCATTGTACCAAAAGTACAAAAATTACATTACGTGGGGAGACCAGGATTTACTAAATATCATTTTTTACTTTAACCCAGGTAAGTCATGATCCCTTGGAGTCGTGATTATCTCTTGAACTTGATTTTTCTTTTAAGTGCTGTTTGTTATTTATGATTTGCATAAATACTCTGGCATGAAGTTACTGCTGTGTAAGTGCACCTTGGATTTACAACCTATGAAAATGCTTCTGACATTGCTGCAGGTAGTGGGACTCAGACTTGGTTCCATTGAATATATTCCTGGAGATTTGGAGAGAACAGTGAAGTATAGGATTAATGATCAAATGCAGGAATGGAGTTCAGGTTGTATGTGTGCCTTAGGGCATCACTGGACCAGGGTGTAGCTGCAAAAGTGCTTTTTTTCAGATGTTTTCTGAATGTGAAATTTGCCCTGTTTTCCTGAAATTCAGAATTTTGAGTAACAAATGAGTGACAGAACTAATATAGACAGAAAGTGGGCACAGTCACTGGAATATCTTGTCTAAAACTGCTGCACTCCCTGCTTCTGCTCCTTCAGTAAAAGTTACTGTTGGAGGAAGATGCTTCCAGCCTCTGAGCCAAGTGATCACTCAGCAGGCACCAGGATAGTGTCATAGATATCCTGCTAGTGAGAAATGCAGGGATTTAAACACTGGAGCATAGTACATTCTTCCCAAAGAAGCTGAGAACCTTATTTCATGCTTTGAATGGATGCTGAGTATCCATTCCTATTGCTTTTCCTGTCTCCTTGTGATCCTGTATTTCCTGGAGTGATCTTAAGAACGAAACAAGTTTGGATTTATCTTTATTTATCCTGTTCCATTTCCTTTTCCTCCAAGGAGTCACAGGGTAGGTAATTGGATGTACCCAAATCCAGGCAAATAAGAGGAGTGAGCAGAAGCAAAGCAATAAACAACATCTGTTCACTGCAGACAGATGTCAGGCATCAGCATCCCTGGTACACCACACATTGCCCTTAGACCTAGGGAAAAATAGAGCAGGAATTAATTTCCAAAAGAAATGAGTGTTATGGGAATAGGGTCTCCTGGAGGGAAAAAAGAAATTAAGCCTGATTAGTTATAAAGTCAGACTCAAGCTGCTAACTGAAGTGTGCAGCAAAAACCAAAGATTGCAAGAATATCTTCATTTTGTGATGAGTGTTCTCTATCAAAGCCACATGTTGGGACACCACAGTCCTTCCCTTGTAACTGGCAAATAATTTTTTGTGAATTACGTAACATCAGACTGCTCAAGAAAGGAAAACAAAAGACCTGGATACAATTAACACAGAAAACTGGACTCTCTGAGGTTTTTGAGACTGGCCTGCAGAGGAATCGGCCAAGGTGCTGCAGGTGCCTTTTTACAGATGCAAGTTAAAACCACGCAGGACTGCGTTACCTGGGGCCTGAGGAGCTGCTCCCTTTGCCCAGCTCTGAGGGCTCTTCTCCCTGTCTGGAGAACTCCCCTGCTTGAGAGGCCTTGAGGGAAGAAACGGTTCAGAAGCTTATTCTCCTACTCTTCAACAGCCACATGGGACCAGCTGCAGACTTCTGGGAAGCTGGGAAAGGCCAAGTGACGAATTAAATCTCAGCACTTCTGCCACGACCTGCTGGCACCAGACATGATTCATTGTTCTCCAGTGCCGAGGCAGAAAGGTCGCAGGGACTGGTGTGATTTATGACAAGCAGATTGTGAGTTCTGTGTGCACAGAGAGAGTTTAAAAAAAAAATCAGTAGGAGAAAGGGAGTTACGAGCCCTTTTGAGGAATTAGGTTCATCTTTAAATAAAACCAGACCTGTGAAATTAATGGGTGATAACTCTCAGGAGGGCTGTCAATAAAATACACGAGTCCTTATGCTCTGCTGTGTAACAGATTGTTGTGGCCTCCTCGACAGCTTCAGCAGCAAACACTGGATGTACTTTGCAAGTTTTCCCATGCCATCTCCAAGGGAATCAGGATTTTAAGTAACCTTCACTGCTGTGTGTCCTTCCCTAGTCCTTCCTGTCACTCCAGAAACTCCTTCCTCTGGCAGAGGACACTGGATAGTGCCACCTGATGTGTACTCACTGGGTTTGATTAAGCTCTGTAAAGGGCTCCCTTGGGTTGTGTTTCCCTGTCTGTTGGTTCAGGACCAATATCTGAGGTGTGTGCAGTCATCCTCTGAGGGAAGGAAGCATCTCCATTGAGCTGCTGCTTGGGATAATTGTAGAAGAAGTAACCGAACATTTCCTGGCCATCAGTTCCAAGCTTTTCACAGAAACATGGTTTAATTTGTTCTAACTCTTATTTTACTTGTCTTTTTCCCTTCCCTCTCCCCTGACCGACGTGGGCAGAGTGTCTCTATGTGTTCCCCTGCCAGTGGAACTACCGGCCCGACCACTGCATGTACGGCAGCAACTGCAGAGGGGCCGAGGAGGAGGGGGTGTCCATCCTGCACGGGAACAGGGGCGTCTACCATGATGACAAGCAGCCCACGTTCAAGGCACTCTACGAGGTGATCCGTGATGTGAGTCTGCTGCCTCCACACAGGCACTCCTTGTATTTCAGTGCAGGTTCCTGCTTTCCTGGGATTGCTCCTGCAGCGGATCAGGCTGAGCGTGGTTATGTTTGTGTAAACCCATCAGACCCAACAGGGCACGGCCGCTTTGGCTTCACCCATATTTGAGGTGATTTAAACATTTCTCCTTGTTATAGTAAACTTCCAATCACAAAGGCTGATAAAACTACTTTTCTGTAATACTGAAGCTAGGAGAAAAGCTTTGCAATGGAGTTCTTCCTGCTGGGAAGCAGCTCCGGGCCACAGATACCCCGTGCAAGTTTGTCCTCCCTGAGCACCTCGAGCCTCTGGGCACATGGAAGGCAGAGGCTTGCACAGTGCATGTGTCCACTTGGAATGTGGTGTGTGTACAGCTGCACTCCCCAAAACAGCTGTTTCCTTACAGTGTCCCTGTGCCAGTAAAGCTCCAGTAAATGCACGCTCTGGAAGTGCAGTTTCTGGGAGTTGGTTGTTTCAGGTAATTTACCCAGACAAACTCCTCTGAAAGCAGGTGCTCTCAGGCAGGGTTTGAAGTGAGGGGCTTGGTGACACCTTGGACAGGTGAGGGACGAGTCATTCCCTACCCATAGGAGGTTTTCTCTTACAGAAACTCTTAAAGTGTCATTTCGCAACTAGTGAAAAATAATACTTCATTTTTTTTCCTTTTCTTTAGTTTCCATTTGAAGACAATCTCTTCCAGTCCTTGTACTACCCTCTGCAGTCGAAGTTTCTGGATACAGTGCACACTTTATGTGGGAGAATTCCACAAGTATTTTTGAAGCAAATTGAGAAAACTATGAAGAAGGTGTATGAAAATCGTGTCATTGTCTACTTGGGGGCCAACCACAGATATTAACTGTAGCTCTATTTTTACAGAGTTTTTAATTCTTGCACTCCATCTCATGAAGGATATAAATGAACAATATGAACTCCTTTTTACTGAAACTTGGAATTGAAATGTTTCCATATCCAATTTTATAATAACTAAGCTAGCAGGAAATCCTAGAAGCCTACTTTAAGTGTTATTTCTTTGGACCTTCTTTCTCTTCCCGGGTTTACTCTTGTTGCAACAGGGAGAGATGATGATTCACACTTTAATTTGGGTTTAGTTTGGATGTTTAAACAGCTGTCTTGCTGTAACTTTCCTGAAACTGTGCAAAAGGTTGTGCTGCTCTGAGGCTTGACAGAGAATTTATGGTTGGAGCTTTGTAACATGGGGACTCTTGAAATGATGGGGCAAATATTCTTGAGTGTCATGAGAATTCTGAATTACAGCAAAGATCACTCCTGCGACAGGATGAGTTAAAATTTACTGTAGTAAAGGGAAAGTGTGTGCTTGAAAGGGTACTTCTGTCTGAAGGTCTATTACCTGCTGTTCTTCACATGTAAGACCTGAGATTTCCTGCACTTAAAAAGATTAGGGGAATAGAAGTGCCTGTTCCCTTTGTGTTGTACAGCACTTTTTGTCTAGCGATTGTCATTTTCCCCATCTGCTCTTCAGTAGTTTTGTGAGGGCTCCTCATGAGGAATTAGAAGGAAAATACTTAAAGCATAAGACAGCCCTGTACAAGAAGTGGGAGGTGACTGCAGGGGAAGCTGTGGCACCTGCTCAGCTGAAGAGCAGGAGAATCCTTTCCTGAATGGAGCACAGTCATGCTCCTGCTCCCCCAGTCCCATACAGTTTAGGAATGTGTTCTCTGGCTTGGTGATGTGAATTGCATTAGGTACAGTCTGAGAATATTGTGACTCCCCTCTCCTGCTTTGCCAGAAACCTGTGGCATGGAAATGTATTTCTGCCCTGGCATTTTCTCTCCTGGAATCATAACCACAGAATCCTAGAATGGTTTGGGTGGGAAGGGACCTTAAAGCCTATCAGTCCCACCCCCTGCCATGGGCAGGGACACCTTCCACTATCCCAGGTTGCTCCAAGCCCTGTCCAGCCTGGCCTTGGACACTTCCAGGGATGGAGAAGTCCAGAGGTTTATGCTGGGATCGTAACGAACAGTCTCAAAGTGAAAGAGAATTTAATATTAATTTAAAATGCTTTATTTAGCTTAGCTTTCCAAAGTATGATCATCTTAGGATATGCACAAAGAGCTTATTAAAATTGCAGTAGCTGAAAGGTGCTTGGGACTAGTCCCTGGGGAACTGGAAGTGAGGACACTCCTAAAGAGCAGCGATCCAAGAGCAGACTCACTCCTGAAGAGCAGCGATCCAAGAGCAGACTCCCAGAGGGCATTTTCTAGGTGTAAGCCCCGAGGGTGTGTGTGGGCGAGTGCTTGAAGAAAGCAGCAGAGAAAATGATCTTACTTTTCAAGTCTGTTCAGCAAAAAAACATTAGGCATGACTTGGAACTGCTCGCTCAGGCAAAGGAGGAGAGGGGTGAGCAGGGTGAGAGAATACAGTTTTCCCCTAATTAAAGGAAAACCTTTAATTAAACTGATGTCCTGTCCACGTAACATACGTTTATTAGAGGTAAATGTTTGAGGTGTGTGAAAGAGGGAAAGGATGTTTCCAAAGTTAAAATTGGATTTCTGAAGAATTGCAGTTTTGGGGATTCTGCTCTATCAAGTCAGGATGCACAGACTCCAAGAGAAAGTCCTTTTATCTCACACATTCTGTTCTCCTTGTGTGGCAGCTCCTGAAAGGAGGGAAAACACGGCCCTGTTGGCATCCTGGGCTGTATCCCAGATACCAGCCGGTACACGGCATGAAGTGCCGACAAGCTGTTCCCAAACACCGGAGTGTGAGGGTGCCTGTGACACGTTTGTGAGCGTGCTGGGTGTGTGACAGGCGGGCAGAGAGCAGGGACAGGGGTCTGGAGTAAGGGACAGTCCTCACAGGCAGGGCAGGGGAACAGAAATGTGTGTTTGCACCTCTGTGTGCTGCAAAGTGTAATCCACCAGTTGGATTAAACAATGTCGTTCTGACTCCGTCTCTTACCTCCCTGTGTTTGCCACCAAAGTGTAAATTGATGTGGGAAGAACAGAGGCAGCTCTGAGTTGTAGATGTTGCTGTCTTTCCAACTTTGCTTAGGATTTTTTATTCAACTGAAGTTTCAGTTGCCACTTTAAAGAACAGTACAACTTCTACCTACAGAGAGAAGTTTGAAATGTAACCCAAACAGCATTCAAGAATTCAGATCCTAAAGGCAGAGGAAGGAAGGTTGAGCATGCTGGTTTAAGAAGTTTAAGATAACATGACAGGGAAACCTTTTGGCCAGCAGTTTCTGAGAGCTTGTAAAAAGTATTTGCTTGCTTTTTGGTCTTTATTTTCCCATATCAGGGTAGAACTGACTGCAGGTCAAACAAGGCTGAAGGAGCCGCATGCTGTGAACGCCGCGTTCCTCATTTCCATGGTGTCTCCAAGCCACAGAAAGCTGCAGAGCAAAGTCTTGCTGCCCAGACAGTCACAGCCCTGGTGCTGAGGCTCTGGAGTTTGGGAGGCTGAGGTTGTGTAAGCTGTGATTCAGCAGAACCCTGCAACCACGGGCACATTCAAATGAAGGAGTGGAATTCATTACAAAACAAAGGCATTATTGCATATGAACTGGTTAGAGATTAAAGCAGTGCTTTTAATGTTTACAGGAGGTGCTACATTTTGTTCAGGAAGAACTGTGTTACATTCTCAACAGCTATTAAATATATAAAGTATTTGCTTTACATGAAGACTTTTGTTAATGTAATATCGGCTGGCAGGAAGAATGGGGAGGTTCCTCCCTGCTGGGCTTTTTCTGAGGAAAAAAAGCAATAATTTCAGCTCTCCAAAGTGTTTTAAAACAATTATGTAATTTTGTTTCTTCTTGTTGTTAGAATTATTAATTTATATTTTATTCTATCTTCCAAACCCATGTTATATTTTAGTTTTAACAGTAGTTGGTTGTAATATTCATTTTATTTAGAAGCCAGTTTTAATTCATTTTGTATTTCATTCTTGTGGCTAATTCCTTGTTAATTAGCCTTCATTTATCTTAATAGTGGGATGTGTAAATACTCATAAAGACTTTATGTCCTCATTTCCCCTTCCTCTCCTGTATTTTGGTTATTTCCAGTGGCATAACGTAAACACCTTCACTAATGTAACACCTTGAGCAGCGTCATCCTTTCTTTGCGTGGACAGAATGTGTTGGCAGCAAAGGAAAAGCATCACCTTTTCCACTGTGATGGAAGGGCAGGTGCAGCCCTGAGCCCTGAGCTTGCTGAAGACAGATAAACAGGGGCTTTCTGTGAGGAGCTGCTGAGCCCTTCCCCTGAGCCCCATGCCAGTGCACATTGTACAGCAAAGAGCTGTGGCATTGTTTCTGTAAGGGGAAGGGGTTTAGTTGTTTGTCTGATGATACAAGGTGGGCTTGGGTAGAGCTCATCAGCATTTTGCCCACAGTGGAGACTGGAAACAGCTCTGTGTGTGTGTGTGTGTGTGTGTGTGTGTGTGTGTGTAAAATGCACCTTTTCTCTGTTGTTGAATTGCTTGTGTGTTTGACAAGTGCCCCGACTGCTGTAGCTCCCAAGGAGGCCAAGCAGTGCATCTCTGGGTTGAGGAGCTCCTTTGGCTAACAGTGCAAATAAATGAAGTTTTAAGCAAGCTCTGTCATTTGCTAATTCTTTTAAATACAAAATTGTGTGTGTGTGGGGTTGTGATGGAGTTTAGAATTGATGTTACAGTGTATGTACACAGGGTATGATAGCACAGAACAGAGATAAATGTTCCTCTTTTACCATTTTACTGTAGTGAGAGAGTGTGATATTGGATATAAAGAGGCAAATACATTAAACTTTCCCCAAAGTGCTCGTGTGTCAGGCTGCAGCTCCAGTTGTGTTATGGTGAGCGTAGATCAGGACCTGCTCTCAAAGGAAATGGTTTTACTCTTTGCTGTTTCTCCGTTTCATTTAGCAGCATTTCCAGAGCCAACTGTCAGGGAATGTTTTTGTCCTCTCCACCAGGTACAGTCAAATACAGCAGCAGTGAATAGACGCTGAGCAACCCTCCAGAGGTGGAATGGGACAGGACAGGCACATGGATTGTCCCTCTGGAGGCTGGAAATACTCCCCCACTGCTCTTGAGGCAGCTGCAGTGGGATCCATTGGGATCTGTATGGATGCACCTCTCCCTGGCCCAAGATAAGGAATTGCTCTTTGGGCTTCAGAAGAAATAACAATGTTTGGAAATTTTGCTTTCATTCTGGACTGGAATGAAAATCAAACTGTCAGCACTTCCTTTGAAATGAAAATGGAGACAAAACACCAAAATGAGAATCAGCATTGAAGGTGAGCAAAGTACTTTGTTAATGTTTTCTTTCAAGGTGAAATATTTTGTGTTGACTTTTACATTTCTATAAAAGTACCTTAATTGCTGCTGTGCAAACTACATTATAGTCCTAAAATGTGGAACTGCTGTCTTGGAACTAAAATATTTTGGTAATACTGAAATAATGACGCAGAAATGACACAGCCCTTTTTTTTAAAAAAAGACCTGTTCTTGCAGAAATATCTTTCCCTAATCCTTCTGAAACAGGTTAATTCCCTGCTGTGGGGGTTAGAACTGTGCAAAGCAGGTGCCTTCTCAGGGCACACACCTTTAAAAAAAGATGTTCTTCCTATTCTGCTCAGCGCTTCCAAAGGGTGCTGTGGTTTGAATACAGGTTCCTCCAGGTGAAAAAACAGGTCTGGTTTTAATCTGACAAGTTTCGTAGTTTGTGGATCCACAGGAAGCTCCTGTCCCAAGGATATACTGGAAGAAAGGTGTGAGAAAGCAGCTTAGAAAGAGAATTGCCCTGGCACTGGTTTGCTCTGGGCTCTTGGATTAATAGGGGACAATCCATGGGGACTCTGTGTCAGTGGCTGACCCAGGTAAAGCCAGGAGCGTTTATCACATCTAACTCTTCTTTGTTCCTGTGGGTACTCTCAAAATAAATACCAACTCCCACAAATACCACTTTTCTGTTTTCAGCCCCTTTTTTTAAGGCACTGCACGTGAGCTGTTCTGATCTTTCAACATTTCAAGTCTTCCGGATTTTTCAAAAGCACATTAAAGATTTTTAGTCATTTTCCTAGAGGAGGGACATAATTTGGCACAAAGTGGCTGTGATATACTTCAAAGAAAAAAACAAAAAAAACTTCCATTCTGAATGGAAAACAGAGACACAACTTTTAGGGTCATTTTCTGCAGCTGTAAATCAAACCAAACAAAATCACTACACTGCTTTTGTAAATCCTTTGATGTGTATCGATGTACAATATTGTCTGAAGACCTAAGTCAGACTTACAACATGATTGTTCTTATTTTCTTATTGTTCTCACTGGATTGATGCTGTATTGAATTGCTACACAACAATCAATTTT